GGAAAGAGATTTTGTATGCAGGATATCCCAAACAAAAAACAGCATGTGTATCAGTAAGTGTTTACGGCAATGACAACCCTAATTTGCCAACTATGTATTCAGTTTTGAGGTTTATGCTTTCTTTTTGCCTTTAAGCATGGTTTCTGCAATGCCTTGAATAATTTCAGTAATCACTGTTGTGTGTACAGGGAGAGACATCAGATATAAAATGGCACTGGAAGCGCGCTCATCTGTCCCTCTCCATTCTTGCCGAAATAATCTGAACTGTAACATTAAGAGGAGGTTTTGTTCAAATCCTTAAGAGTTCATCTTATTCTTGCAAGCGTAGTAAACCGTTCACAAGTTTTAACTCCAGGCTTCTTAAGGCAACTTCACTGTGGGAAAACCAAGTCATTTGCATGTTTGCCACCAAAAGAATGGCTTTCAAACTGCTCTGTAAACAGTAAAGTTGAGGAATACCGCACACGGTCTGCATCCAGGATCTCTATCCTGTACTGCCCAGAATTAGCAAAAGGTGATAGTTCATCCTCAAAAGCCATTGCAAAATTAGCGCTCACGTGCCTCAGTGAAATATAACACTAGGTTAAACACAGTCAGCAATTAGTTGCAATCAGCTACGACAGCTTTTTACCTGGTTCGGTTTGCAAGTTCTCTGATATTCGAAAACAATGCAGTTTGCTGAAGTTGCGAGAAAATAATTGCACGCAGCTTGGAGGAAGAATCATATTCCTTAATCTTCCAAAAGTACATTCCGGTGTGACAATTATGTAGCAAGCAGCATGAGCCTATAAATAGAAGCACACCAGTTAAGCACTTAACAAAACACAACGAAAACGAGTATGTTTATAACACAATATGCACTGGTACTACCAAAAAAAAAAAAAAACCAGGGGCTGGAACGCATACAGACCTTCTATAAATCACTTTGATTTCAGTGAAATCAGTGAGCCATTTTTCACCCCATGTTTTAATTTGTTCCATTAAGTTTTTATATAACTAACAGCGGGAAGTCTTAACACATGAAGAAACCGCAAGCATTACAAATCTGCTCTAGTAAAAGCTAAAGACAGCTGTCTGGACAAAATTAAGATTTTGAGTCTCAAGCCCTGAATCTTACATTCTACACGTGCATTTATTGGTGGGCTGGGGCAAGGGGGATGACAGAGAGGTGGACAGGTTATGAAGAGCTTGAAAATAGCAGTATTTCCTTACTCGGTTATACCCACTGGCAAATTTGGGGATAACACTTTTGAGAGGTTTATTCCAAGGCCTGACTGGCTAATTTCTGATTTGTATTTGTACTCTATCCTCAGTCATTATTTAAAGGTGCACACATACAAAGGTTCACATATTCTACACAGCACATTTTGTGTGTTAAGAGTGTTCACAAAGCTAGTTTCCCCCACCTCAGAAATTAGGAATCACATCAGTTAAAAAAAAAAAAACAAAAAAAAATCACTAAAACTATTTTTACGCGACTCAGGTCATACCCAAAATACTGAAAAACCTTTTGTTTTAGATGACTATAACATAACGAACCTCCTCGTGCATTAAGTGGCAGATTAACGATTTTATTTATCAAATCTACTTCTCAGTCCCTGCCCCATCTCCTTTGCACTGCAACTGTACTTCATCACCAGGCAGTATTCAACGGACGGACCATCCCCTATCTACCCAGTAAATTGTATATTACTACATGAAGAGCCGTGGCTTTCCTGAGGATCACTGAAGGATACCATGACATTGCACAGGAATTAAGAGCCATGCAAAAGGAAAAATGCAGAAACTAGCAGTCGTTACTGAAAAAGCTCACAGTTTAAGAACATTCTACACTGAAAAAGGAATAAGTTTATTACAACAACACATCTCTGACCTTACATAAAGGTATGCATTTTAAAATTAATTCTGATTTCACACAGCAAAAGTAACACCACCCTTGTGAGGAGAAGCTTGTAAGTCTAATGGAATTTAAATTTAAAATTTAACTGTGACTTTAAAAATTGCCCCATTTTGGTGAATAAAAGTTAAAAAAAAAAAAAAACAACAACAATTAATTTTCCATCTAACAGATAAATATCACCAGCTCCAGAATCAGTCATGGCCTGAAAAGCCCAGGTCTACTATTTAATAGAGTTCTGTCATAAATACACCCAAGAATATGAACATACCAGAATGCCACACCATTCACATCTCATGCCAGACAGCACCTCAGAAGAGCCACAGGTTTTTTTGCAAACTTCGCACCGAGCACTCGAAGAGAGATTTCCCTCCCTCCAGTGGTGGTGGTAAGTATCCTAGGAGGACATATCACAGCTTAGCATTGCACCAAACAGGGGATGCAGAAGCATCTTTGTCCTAACTTTAGCATGAGTAGCTCAAACAGCTCTGAGAAAACAGGAAGCAGACTAGGACATTAAGTATTTTCTTACTAAAGATATGAACCTGAGCACTCTTACATTTCATAAAAAAACTTGCGCATCAAACTATGTACACAGTGTTTTGTCTTCAAAGACCACAAAAACAAAATTTTTAAAAAAATATCCTGAAGATCAGCACTATCGGTGTATTTCACAGTGAAAAGAAAAAAAAAAAAAAATCAAAGCCTTGCCTCAGACGGATCGTAGAAAGCCTGAAGAACATGATAATGTTTGAAATGTCTAATTCTGTGATGCAAAGCATCCAACAGCTCAACGTACCAGAAGAAAAACAATTCGATTGCCAGCTTCTGCAATGCAAGTGCTTTGGTAAGATGATTCTCCCCCCCACTCCCAACTACTATGTGGCATACACAGCCAGACCTTTGAACAAGCCTTCTATAAGCATCATAAATAGATGTATTTATCGGAATTTAAGTTCCTCTCACTGTTTGCAATGCATTCCACAGCCACATGTTCCCTCCATCTACAAGGAAGAAATAAGAGTGCTCTGGTAATCATCGGTGTAATAAAGAAAACCTCAAGGCTCCTCCCTCTCCTCTACAGCCCACGTTTTGACGCTGAAAATGCAGGACTACGCTCTGCTGCACCGGCGTTGGTACTTACATGGTCCTGGTGCCCATCCTGGTGACACTGCCGGCAGTCACTACAAGCAAACAGGATACAATCTGTATGCACGTGTAGCTCACAAACTAAAAACACAAAAATAAGAAAACTTCTTTAAGCGTGAACCCCGACGTTCTTGCCCTCTCGCCCCTTCACCCCCCCCATCCTTCTTCCACTACTTTTTGGCACCCTGTTTTCTTTCCTTCAAGCCCTTTTCTGTTAAAATACAGGCAATAGAAGCAGCTCTATCATTACCGCCCTGTGTGCTGTTCGGTTTCCTCTGTATTAAATTGATGCAGCTAGCAAATACGAGGAAAGGCAAAAGTTAATTTCGCTCATAAGCATTTGCCATATTTCCTCCAGTACACAAAGTTAGACGCGTAATAACCATCTGGCTTATTACAGCTTCGTCTCATAGTTTCGCAGGAACCGCTGCCTTCTCTAATACAATCATTTCTTGTGTTTCAAGCTCACTTTAATTTAATCCCATCTAAAAATGCTGAAGCTTAGGAGCTAACAGAAAGCCCTTCATCCGCATCCAAACACTGTCAAGTCCTAAGCGTAAGATGATGGTCTTCCTGAAACCACCCTCCCTTAACAAACACCACCCTCGAGCACGCTGGCTTTCCAAACTAAAACACGCTTTTCCGATATCTCCCCTCCCCAGATAATCAGATCTTTAGCCTCAGAACCACCTGGAAACAAAGATCGAGTACACTCCAAGGACAGAAAGAGATTAATCCTTTGAGGTACTGCCCAATCACACCAACAGCACAAATCCAACGCTCAACGGCTTTCTTGCAGCACTGATAAAGAGAGTATTTTTCCAACGTGTCTCATTTGTTTCTGCTATTTGCAAGGCGACATGACGCACAAAAGTCAAAACAGGCAAAACGACCGGACAACTTGCTTTACAGGGAGACTCCCAGCAGCCAAGGGAGAGAATTTAGTTCCTGAGCAAAATTTCCTTTACCATCAGGTGACACTCAATGGATTTAATTTTAAACCCAGCGAGAATAAAGTGGTACATTTCAGCTCACGGGAGCTTTGTCCAAGCTGTCTTTGCATGCTGTCAGTCATCACTTCATTGTCAGGAAAAGGAAAATAAACACTTTTTCAGAGCATTCTAAACAATTTTAATGTTCCAAAATATCTATTCTATCCTTTAGCTAGAAGAAATTTTAGTGAAAACTACCGAGTTTTAGGCAAATTTTCCTTTTTTTTTTTTTGGATAAAGTACTTTCATTTTTTAAAAGCTGATTTGAAGAAGCATCAGATATAAAAGAAGAGAGAACTGAGAAAAAAATAGTAAAAATGCTAAAATCCAAGCAACCAGTCATTTAAAAACAACAACCACCACCACCACCCACACTCAGCAAATAAGAAACTTGATGCCTAGCTTCATAATTGCAGGACTTAGAAAAGCTAAGGATCTCACAAATGAATATGTATGAAAAAGATCCAGCTATAGCTGCTTTTTAAAGAGTTGTATATAGAAGTACTCTGGGAAGGCATCCGATTTTTCTTTGAGTAAATGACACAAGAGTCAAGATTCAAATTCTTCTTCTTTTTTTTTTTTTTGGTTCTGCTCAAACAAGTTATTGTTCCAACCGTATCAGAAAAATCTGAAGACCTGAAGACTGGACGGGGGCCATTGCAAACGCTAGCCATGTTATCTGCAAGTATCTTGAAAATAGCATTAAATTACCCAGAGCATAATACCTCATTCTGAAGTCAATCTCCAAGCTCCGGAAAAAGCAGTCAATGTTAACATTGTCTTACTCTTAACACTGCAGAAAACCATGATGTACCACTGCTTTTGTGTTTTTTGTGCTTTTCTAACTCGACCACAAATTTTCACACGCAGTTCCCCACAACAACACATCTCTTACTGCTTTGGAGAACTCAAAGACCTCTATCTGAGGTGGGACACTGCCCCTCTTTTGCTCAAACAACTTCTTGCCAAACCACATCCGTAGATTTAACACAAAGATTTTACGATTCTGTAAAAAATCTAGCTCGAAGGCAAGCTATATGCTTTGACCTGTGTCCTCACTAACACTAAAAGCTTCTCTAAACCAAATTACAGCTTTGAGGAATTAACAAAAGCGTTATATCATTAATTCCGCTAATGCAAGCACAACACAGGTTTTTTTCCTCCTGCTTTAAGACATATCTGCTCCTTCTGACGTGAGCATCCCCTGTCCCCAGCGCAGAATTAGCAGTGGCACAGAAGGAGTTACAAAGAAAAAAACCTTTAAGATAGCCTCCCTGCTGACAGGAAAGATCAATTCAAAGCAAGGGTCCCACAACAATACCAACCCACAAAAAATAAAGTTTCATCTTTAGCAGCCCTTCTGTGAGCTAGGCAATTCTTTAACTCGCAACAGAACAAAGGTATTCCGTCCAAGTTCATCAAGAAAGTGCTGTGAATGCCTTTTTAAATGCCAACAGTCAGATTGGTTTATTTGAAATACATCAACGTGGCAGAATAATCTTTTAAATGTTAACTGCTCTCCTTCAAAACCAAAAAAAAAAAAAATCTATCCTTTAAGTAATTTTTTTTTTTTAAACAAACAGACAATTTGCTACTCCTGATTGATACTTGATGCAACATGATTGATGCTTAGAAAGAAACTTGTATTACAACAGATCCAACACTAACACATGTTTGGGTTCCTCCCTTTTCTCCTTTTTCTTTCCAGCCTTTCTTCTTGGAAAGAAAAGTAAGAGGAACACTAGTCATTATGAATCAATCCAGCTTTAACTTTGTTGAAACTTTTACCAGTGAATTCTACAGCAAAAATAGCTATCCAAAGCACATGAGTAATTTTCAACAGAATTTGGAGTTCAAATATCATAACAATTTTTGCCTAAAAAGTGTGGGTACTTCAGCACACTACAGCTTACTATTCATACACGCTCATTTTCCAGAATACAGATTTAAGGGACTCTCCCACACCCACCCAGTGTCTTGTGTTCGTCTGAAAACTTTCACTTTCTTTACAAAAATAGAAAATTTAAAAATCACAAAACTACTTTTTTATTGTAAAATACGAAGAATGTAAAACAAAATGTTTATTTAAAATGGACATCTAATGTCAATCATTTGCCCACAAAAGGTAATTTCATCTTAACCCCCCTTTTGTAACCGAATTATGGCAAAAGATTTCAACAAAAACTCTTTACATTTCAGTATCAGAAGAGAACATCTTAAGTGATAGTTGACTTGTACTATTAAGTACTGTCATTGGAAGTAAGCAAAAAGAAAGTTTAACATCTGAATTTAAAAACTTCACAGTTTTAAAATAGCTGACTTAAAAATCAATTCTAACAGTATTTTTGAAGAGTAAAGGAAGGATCGCATACATTTGAGGAGCTCAGCTGCCCTTTTTAAACACATTTGGAAAAAATGTCAGAAAAACAACTTGTAGACTTACTATTATTCAGAAAACGGGATGGCAAACAAAGTCATACCACACAAAACAAAAATCCTGTTTAATCCACGCTAGGAACACAACTTCCGAACCTTTACTGAACCAGAGAAAAATGTCCAAACATTTGTAGTATCTAAATACAACAAGTGATTTCACATGTTTCTTGTTTAAAAACATTTAAATTAAAACCTTTAGAAGATAAATTTTCCTTTGCAATGGGTACAAAGTCAATACAATAAAATTAATATTCTAAGAATATAAAAGCAAAATTTAAATTAAAATAGACCACCAAACTAAAGAGCTAACGAAAATTATTTTCTTTTAAAATCCTTCACGCTTATTTAATGCCAGACATAAGCTGTGACGCTTACAAACACAGGACATCCGAAAAGACTCTGTGGTATCTATAGCTTCGTGACCATCCCACCAGATCATCCAGCTAACGTGGTAATTATACTTAAGCGACAGACTCTGATGAGCCAGAGAACTGTATTTTAACATGCCTTGTGCAACTCACAAGATAAAAGCAGGACCAAAAACAATGTACCACTAAGGCTCCAAATTCTCTGATCAAAGACAAATATTTCCCCTACACATACATGTAAACAATCACAACAAATCAGACAATATTTTTAGCACAACAGCAATACTAGCATCTCAAATGCCTACTGAATTGATTCGCCTCTCAGTATACTCTCTTCTGTTTTTTGAACAGTTCACAGGCAATATTCTTCTAAAAGACTGAATTCTCTTCAACCTCACAACCTCCACAGTACCTTAGAAACTCAGGGAGGTTCAAAGGAGACAAGAGAAAATTAAGGAGCTATCCCAAATCGAAACCAGTGATGTATTCGTGCCAACACGTACTTCAAGTCAGTAGATTCTGAAATTCTGGTGTTAGTGTGATTTACTTTATTATTATTATTATTTTTTAAGAGAGTCTATGTCAGAACGCTCTGAGCAGTATTATTTTGACAGATAATATTTTCAAATACCTTTCCATCTAAGGCACCATATCCCCTTGGCAAGGAACAGATTATCGAGACTGCCAACACAGAGAAAAGTTATATTCTATTCTTTCGCAGGAAGGGGGAGGTTTTAGAAACATGAATACCAGATGGTCCCCTGTAGCCAAAGCTTCCAGTGGAAAACTGAAATAAATTGCTCCAATAGGAGAAGCCTTTACTCTGCAGTAATAGCATCTCTTCCTTTTCACCTCTCAGGCCTGGGCTCATAGCACACCCCCAAAACCATGGACTGGCCCAAAATAAATCGGAGGAAACGTGAAAGACAGTATCCATACGGGACAATAGTTTCCTTAATTTAAGGTACCCTTTTCCATGGTCAATTAGTGCATGATAAACAAACCAAAAAATTTCTCTAATGCAATACAGGCATAGTCAACTTTTCCATTGTTGGCATAGATTACATCGTTTGTGCGTGTTCACATACATAAGCAAAGCGCACATTACTGCATAACAGACAGACACCTGCGTCACTAGGTAAGAAGTTACCTTCACATCGAAAGGCAGGTGCATCTAGTGACTTTCTGCACACAGTGCAAAACTTTCTTTTGTAATGTCCTGGAGGCCCAAAACAGTGTGCAACTGGAACCTGCCAACGAAGAAGACGGGATATGTCATTAGCCACAACCTTCAAAACGGCGGTTACGATTCACACAGACTGCCTTATCATGCAAGACAGCACAGCATATACAGCGTAGACTTAAGTAAGTTTGACAAAAACTATACACCCAAATCATTCTGTAAAAAATAAATCACATGTGGAGGTACATATTTAAAATATTGCAAAAACGTTTTAAATATTTATTTTAAAATACTTATTTTTTTAAGTAAACATCTATAGTCTATATTTTTCAAGGGCTAGTCAATTTCTTAATGATTCATTGTCCCGTGTATCTGAAGGGTCCCCTCAGGTTCGGTCCTGTGCAACTTACCTGGAAGCACAGCTTCAGTCCCCAAAGGCTCTTAGCCAGAACAAGGTCCATAAAACAGCGGCAGCTACATATGTACAACCACAGACAAAATACCCTGAAGATACATATAAGGTAATTCTTAGACGCTCAAGACTGCCAAAATCCAATACCCTCCACGTGCCTTTCACCTTTTCTCCTAATACAGCCCAGCCAAGAGGCTGGCCAACAAAAGCAACGGCCCAAAACCAACGTTTCAAAGCCTAGCTGGCGCTGAAAGTACATCAGTACTGAGATTGCAGATGACCACAGCAGGAAAGAAGATGCATTGCAAGGTCTCATTGCTAAGAGCCACACCAACGGTTTTAACTAATGTATTTCTAACACTGTATACTCTCAGCTAAAATGAACGAGGGGTTCCCCTGAATTATGGATCGATACTGAAGACTGGAAGCAACGGTACTGTTTTAAGGCAGAGGCAGAAAAGAACAACAGAAAAAAAAGATGGAAAATGAAGAATAAGGAAAATACTTCAGTTTTATACTTGTTCTAGAGACCGTTCTCCCTAGGAAGAACATCCTTGTCAAACTGACATTCACACCAGAAAAAAGAAGCATAATTGCATCTTTAAACTTCTATAGAATGCAAATGACTTCCATGAAATTGTACAGTGATTTATGTTAATAACTTTTCAAAATTTTTACAACTGAAAATTATATATCCCCTTACATCTTTGACCTTGGCAACCCACACGTCCTTCCTGACAAAAATACCATATTTATCTTCTGGTTCTTGCAGCATAAAAACGTATGACATATTTCTAATGAAAGCTCACAAAGGGTTATTTAAGCATAAAATGAAATGAACAGTTTCCACCAAAAAGTTGGAAATAATGACTTCAGATATGCCTAATCAAAGACACTTTCTTTTCCTTCCAGATGCTCTAGTAGATAATCCCCCAAATTTATTGAGCAGGATTTGAGTGTTCTTCCTTGTATATTAGGGTCTTCCTGTGAAACACTAGCAGCAAATGTGACACAGATTGGGAACACAGCATTTGATAACCCAGAAAGTCCCTTCTAGACACAAAGGTCTAATTCCCACCAGCGTTTCTGCCTCTGGACAGAAAAGCACAATTCTGCTAAACAAAGCATGTGCAGTGACATAAGTAAGAACAAGTTTTGGCATGAGGGGAAGAGAACATCACTGCAAGTTTCATCGAGAGAAATCACTATCCCCAAAACTGCGTAGCACATGATTCCTCCGATCCACCTCAGATTTAATTTGGGAGAGGTAAAGGAAGATGAAGAGGGGTGTGAAGCATGCCCACCCTAAAAGACCTGGAGAGGATTGAGTCCTGCAGTCGAGAAGCATCCTGGCTCCCCGGCTGACCAGGAAATTGTCTGTCCAGATCCCAGACTCCCCAGCACACCGGGCTGCCAGCCAGCCTACCCAGAGGAGTTCACATCAGCATCTCCAAAATGATACATGACAGAATTTCCATGGCTCCAAAAGCCTCACATTTTTTTGTTTTTCGGACCTCTTCAGGATTTAGAAAAAAGAGACAAACCAGGCTTTGTGGTCTGTCTCCTACCGCCACCCAACCCAAACGGAAACTTCATTCTCTGCACACCTTCACTTTGAATCGACACAAAGCTCATGATCAGCTTGAGTTACTCTGTTTTAAAATCGGAATGTTTTAGCCATATAACGCATGTTTATAAAAAGAAGATATACCTTTGGACAAGAATAGCATTTCCCAGACAGGCTGGGGGAACTTCAACCAAACGAGCTTAGATTCTGCTCAAAGCTGACAATCCTTACTCAGCCTTCTTTTATCTCCATGCTACTTCTAGGGAAGTGCACTGCTGCCCCGAAAAAACCCTTCTCAGAAACACACAAGTTACCGGGCCTGGCTATCTTGGATGTAACAAGGCAGAGCTCCCAATCAGTCTTCAAGTTTTAAGTGCCACCTTCAAGTCATCTGCCTGCATGGCTCCCACTGCAGCCCAAGGCGCAGTGGAGACAACATTTCTCAATACAGCAGTATTTTGAAGGGGGGAAATCAAACGCAGAGACCTTGTCCAGCTCCACATTGCTGAGTAACCTGACTTGGACACCTGGCATGAACTTGCAATCCCCTTAACAATCAGTGATTATAATACAGAGAACTCTGGGTTTTTTAGTTTTTTTTTTTTTGGTTTTTTTTTTTAAACCCTGCTTCAAAATCTGGCTATTTTATCTTATACCTGGCATAGAAATGCAGGATTTTCCCTTTACCAGTTCCAGTGTTTAATAAGAAAGAAAAGTTTTACTGAAGAAAAAGGACGCTCCATAGATCAAAACAAAGTTTTGTGAAAAATAGTGGCTATTTTGGGAAAGGGCTTTGGCAAGAGTGAATCTCTTTTTCAGGGTCTGGCTGTATTTCTGTAGAAGACTCAAAGGAAGGAGACTGTGAGTCTGCACTCTGCAGTTGTTCAAGCCCTGGCGACATCCTCCGAAATCTCAAGCCACTGCTAAAAAGAAAAGACAACAACTTGCTTGTTGAATGGTGACACTGACCAGAAAAAAAATCTATTCCTTCAGCTTCCTTTCTGAAACAAGCTACAGACATTTTGTTTAACACCTCGTGAACTGATCAATCACACACTCCTTCCTCCAGCAGCTTCCTCAGTTTTTTTCCTCCTCCCTCGAACAAGTCCCAAGCACTATATATATATATATACATATATGTATATATGTGTGTGTGTATATATATATATACACACACACACACAAAACTCTTAGATTGTGAAAGCTAGGGATAAAGCATTTCAGGATCCAAAATGATACCAGTTAAAGAATAAGAGATAACCACCTGTGTAAATACAGCAAGCTACAGATACATTAGGTGGTCTATAGAGAGAAAAATTAATAATTGATGTAAGATAAAAACCTGCTTTTCCAGTAGGCCTACTTAAATTACGTTATGTAAACCACAAAAATTGATTTCCACAGAAAGATGCAGAAACTTACTGCTGGTAATACTGTTAAAGGACATCTAAGTGCCCTTATAGTATTGATCAAACGTCTATTGACAAAGTATAATGGTAACACTCCAGCACGCGCTCCAGAATGACCTTGTATTCATGGACCAGATATTCCTAGTTCCCTGTTTTGTTTCCTCAAAGCTGTTAAGACATCTAAAGCAGTACTGAGCGTAACACATTTCTGTATAAGTTCCTATCAACTTATACTAAAATTAGACCCTATGGAAATCTGAGTATAGATCAGAGAACCTAGGTATAATCAGAATATAACCCCTTCAGTGCTACCTGCGTTAACTGCACAGCAAGACACCGTGCAACTGTATCACACAGAAATGCAGCAACAAATGCATGCCCAGCAACTGCTTTCGACCTTCCAACGTTTGTCATCACCACAGAGCTGTGCACAAGCACACTATTTTTGAGAGAAAAAGAAGAGAAGGAACCATCGTCTTTCTGCAGTGCCTTTTTAAATCCTTGCTTACGCTGAAATGCCGCAGGTGTAGGCGAAGGCAGAGAATCATCATTTTAAGTGCTTTTAAATATTTGAAGTATGTAAGTATTTGGGTATTTTCCCCTGAAACAGAATCGTAATGTACAGAACAGCTCAATTCTCACCCAAGCTGTCTGGTTCATGGAGAAAGTCACGTTAAGTCAATCAAGCATTACCGGGCTGCAACCTGCTGGATACCTCAGTGGGGAGCTGCAGAGTTACAGGAACTGCTGGTCCTCGTTGTGTTGCAGCCACTTGACTGCCAGCTCCAGCAGAAGAAAGTTTTTAGCCTGAATCCCGTATCAAGGACTGCCAGTCTGACGCAAGACTGACAGAAATACAGATATACCAAAGAACAGCGTGACAGCTGCTGTCTTGGGCTGTCTGAAAAAAAAAAAAAAAGAAAGAAAGAAAAAAAGAACAGCCTGCTAAAAATTTCTTCCAGTCCTGAGTCTAAGTATTATTTTTCCCAAATATCTCGTCCGCCATCATATCAGAGAGTCGCACCACTGGTGGGATATAAAGACCCAAGAGAAAGAAAAAAAAAAAAAAAAAAAAAAAAAAAAAAAAAAAGCAGGGCTAATTTCAGGGCTTACGGTAGCATTTGGCTGATTAGCTTCAAGGGGCAAAGGGCACATAGAAATAAGCATGCAAACACTCTCACAATAGCCTGCAAAGGTTGAGCAAAGGGAATTTAACTCGAGGTCACCAGTGTCAGTTCAGCAGCATCCCGGCATTTTAAGGATCAGCACAACTTCCCATCAACTGTCTTCAAAAATGCCCAAAGGAAAGGCACAGGGGGTCTTTCAAAAAGCCTGCTTTCAATTTAAAGGCAAAAAAAAAAAAAAAAAAGGGAAAAAATGCTGATACAAATTAAAACGAATGAAACGATAACACCTTCTACACTTTCTGATGTTTCAAGTGCAAAATGCATCCTTACTTAACGTTCCTCAGATTTGTTCTGATGACAAAAACTTCTCCTCTCAACAGGAGCTCAGGGTGATGAAACGTGAGCACATCCCATGATTATTATGTCCAGGTAATTAAGCCTAGCCCACACATAGTCTAGGCCATACCGTCTCTGAGGGGAGCTAACACCTGGAAGTGATTCAGCTTTCCACAGTACTGACATCTTCCCCAGCTACTCACTTACTGCTCAGCA